GGGTGTAGGGGCCTGGCAAAGGGGATCAGTAACATTGGGGAGCTCATTGCATCACAAGAATGCTTATTTTCCAGGTCTCCTGGTTGATGCAGGCTCTTTGGGTATCCCTAAGGTTCCTTGGAGAGCTGCCCTAAGAATTGAGCTCATTTTGGGAGTGCAGTGTGTCAGGTTTCAATAAGGCCAACGAGATTGGTCCTTGGGACAAGGGCAAGTGGGGAAGGGTAATAGGGACACTGGGCTGGTGAACCCCCAGACTTGAGAGGTCCTGTCCTCTACTCCAACCTGGAGGACTCTTCAGAGCTCCTCTTGGAGCAAGGCACTGGGGTTCCCCTTCCCAGCATCTCACTGCCTTTGACCTCCTGTCTTGGCCTGAGATAGGACAGCCTGGGGGTGTGTGTATGAAGGATGTTGGCCTAAGGTGACCCTACCCCCTGTCTTCAGCTGAGTCATTACTCCTCGTGGCTAGTCTCCCCAGTGCTAGTTTCCCCTTCTGTGAGGAGGGCTGCTGGGTGGCTATGGGGCAGAGGGGCTGCTTCCCACTCCCCAAGGAGTGATAAGGAGTGTGTGAGAAAGCACAGTCTTTGTGAGTGTGCAGGGAAGACTCGAGGTCGCTGAGCTGGCTGGGTCAGGGTGGGGGCTTCGGCCGTTTGATGTGCTTGGGTGGGGTATGGGGATGCTGGTCTGCATAAAGAGGCCATAGAATTGCTGAGTGACACTGGCCCAGGGTGGGGGCTGCCCCAAGCCCTGTTCCCTCTGGCCTCTGTCTGTCAGCAGAGGGAGTCTGTTCCCCCAGCTCCACCTAAGCCATGCAGGGTGGCAGGAGCCCCTTTGAAAGCCCTCAAAGGCCTCTTTATATGGCCCCCTCTGACCCTCCCTTCCCTTAGGGAGCTACCAGGGAGTGGGCTCGGTTGCCTTTCCTCTGCCTCCTCTACTCTGTCTTTTGAATTTTGGACAAAGTTCAGGCCAAGTTTGTTCCGTTGCTCAGTTTCATTTCCCCACACTCCCTGCTTGGGGTCCAGTCAGCAGTGGGGGCATTCCAGACCAGGAGGGATGGTCTGAGCCACTCACCAACTTCAGCCCTTAAGAGTTTCGACCTCTAGGGGTGGGCTTAGAATTTCCTTGGTGTGTGAGCATATGTGGGAGGGAGAGGACTTAAGTCTTTACCCACTCTGGACACCACCCTGTGTTTTGGGCCATTCATTCATTAGGTAAACATTTCCCAGGTCCTTTGTCTTGTTAGGACTGGTCCCAGAGAGGTTGTGATGGAGCCCACAGCCTTCCTTGGGGGAGCCATGTGTTGGGGTACATGGCATATGCAGGTCTTTCAGTACCTGGAGGTGGGCAGACAGAATCCAGATTCATTAACCTTGCCCAGGGCTCCAGGGACGAGGAAGGATGAGCTCCCTGGGGCAGGGCTCCCTGAAGGTTCCCAGAGGTCTTGGGTTTCCTCCAGCTTTCTTGCTTTTCTGTCATCAGTGGTGACGATGGCAGAGAGGAGGGGAGACGTTTGGAACTTGAGAGGAACTTGTCCCAGAAAAGCCTTCCTTTCTGTTCTGAGAAGTCAGCCCCTCCACTTCCTCCTCTTCCTGCCCCCTCCTCCGCAGGTGAGCACTCCATCTGTCAGAGTGCTCCAGGGGTGGTGGGGCCTGGAGGATTTGAGTCAAAGACATCTCCAAGACCAGAGGGTAGAGGGGAGAATTAAGCCCTGTCCTCTTGCCTGTATCTCTGTTCCCTGGTAGACAGGAGATGAGCAGGGGTGAGGGCGGGGTGTATGAATATTGATCTGACCCCCCCATCCTTTGGTGAGAAGTGTGGTTGCTGACAGCAGAGGTGGGCAGGGAAGGGGTGCTGAATGACTTCATATTCTCTGGTTTCCCTGAACCTGGGCTTCTCTCTGGGCCAAGGAAGCAGGCCCGGACGAGATGGCCTGTGGCTGCAGTTAGTGCTGGAGGATCTTCTGTAGTTTCCTTACCTGAGGACCCTGGAGTAGGGTTGAGGTAGGGGGACTGGGGCATTGGGAAGGATGCAAAGGTAAGATAGGGGGGCTTCTGAGGGGGAGTGTTCTTACCATTCTCCTCTTAACATGAATCAGTTTGTTCCATTAAACACATTCTTTGCAGGAAAAAAAAAAGGTTGAAGTTTGAAAAGTTAAGAATAAAGACCATTTTCAAAGAGGCTAAAAGGGACGATGAGACTTTCATAAATTCCATTGGCTTTCTGTTTTCCCCCTCAAATAGAAAGTCCTTTTAGGGTTCAGGTTCTTTAGCTGTGGAGTTTTATTTTAACCCCAAAGGGGAAAGGCTGAAGCAGTATCCAGAGGAACCATTCATTCTTCTATTTGTCAGACCTGCAGGTATTGCTCAGGCAGTTCTGGGCTGGGAAGAGTGAAGTCTGGGGGTGGCAGGTGTGCCCTGGAGCCCCAGGGCAGAGTAGAAATTGGAAGAGGGAGGAGGGGGCACCACAACCTAAGAACAGAGGGATGCCCAGCTGAGCTTGGAACCAGCTCACTTCCCACCCACTCCTTTCAATGAATTCTTCACCTGGCCCAGCCCCTACTTACCAGGCTAAGAACCTCTGGGGTGGAAAGAGGCACCCCAGGGAGGAGGAGGCAGCTAATAAACTATCTTCGTGGAGGGCAATTCCTTTTATCCCTCCTTCCCCCTTTTTGGGTCTTTTTCCCTTGTGGGCTAAAAAGGATCTCTAGGAGGACTAGGGAACTGGATTAAGGGAGAAGGAAGGCAGGTAGAGGTGACTAATCATTGCTAGAGAGCAGAATTTATTTATTATTATTATTATTATTTTTGCAGTTTACCCAGGCTGTGTTTGAACCCACCACCTCTGGTATATGGGGCCGGCGCCCTACTCTTTTGAGCCACAGGTACCACCACCCTAGTTTTTCTATTTTTTAGTAGAGACAGGGTCTCACTCTTGCTCAGGCTGGTCTTGAACTCCTGAGCTCAAGCAATCCACCTGCCTCAGTCTTCCAGAATGCTAGGAATGCAGGCAATAAATTGTGGGCAATTTATGTTAGACAACAGAGAATGACTAGGCCTCGGAAAAAGGAGACAGGTTCTGGGTGAGGCTAGGTCTAACAGAGTCTGTTTGCTCAGGGAGGACCTGGTCTCTTAAACCCAGAGCAGTTGAGTGTCCCAGATGAAAGGTGAAGGGTGGGCTGGGCTGGAAGCCCTTTGACCCAGAAACCCTCCCTCTGGACTAGATAGCACTACCCCTTGGTCTCTGCACTGTCCCCTGCCTTCCTGGGGGCTGCTATGGAAATGTAACAGTGGAGAGGGCCTCAAGTTAAATCCACAACAGCTGGGCTAAGACTGTCTGGTTTTCCCGTCTCCCTTTTGGTACTATGTGGGTCAGTATTTTACTCTGATTCTCAGGCTACCCCCATACCATAGGAGGTCCCACACTCAGTCTCAAAGTACAGGTTTGCGCCGGACTTTGGGGAAGAGGCTGCCAGCTGCCCAGCCTTACCTCAAGTCTCTTCCTTCCTGATCTACCAGCTGTGAAGCCCCAGAAGGCTGTTACAGACTGGACAGAATTTAACCCAGGACTGATGGTCATCCAGTTTCTCAGTGGCACAGCTCAGAGAGCACCTACAAGTGTGTTTTGTCACATGCAAGGCCCCATAGGGCTCATATTATTTGGAATAATAAAGGAAATTGAAGCACTTTTTATTATGAGCTGCTGAGATTGGCAGGGGTGATAAGTGGGGGCTTGGGGTGCTCCCTGGTGAGGTGATGGGAGCCAGGCCCTCAGCCATGGTGGTCCTCTCACCAGAGTAGCTGTCCTTCAAAGTTTTTGAGGGATTGAATTGGAGAGGAGAGGTAAGGCACTCCAGGCAGTAGTACTGGGAAGTTCTGCCTCCTGCCTCTTTCTTGGGATGGATGCCTGGGTAGAGGCTTACCTACTTACCTCACCAAGGTAAGGTCTGGTCTGTCCTCCTCTTGGTGACTGACTTGATTTTCCATCTTTTATAGTCACTTCTAAGCAAAGTAGACTGCCATGGGTACACTGTTGGGAAGTGAGACCTGAAGGCTGCCTGCTTGCAGGGGGTACAGGGTGGGTGAGAGCAGCATTGGTTCTCTCTGCACGGGAGACTGGGCTGACAGGAAGGGGGGTGGGGACTTCTCTGCTGAGAACGGATCCATTTAGGGAGGAGAGAAAGGCTGCCCAAGAAGTGGTGGGGCATCCTGCCAGCTCGGCAGGTCACTAGCATCATCACGGGTTCTGCCAGGTAGTGTGGTTTCATGTCCCTGTGAGGTGGGACTTCTCTGCTGGGAACAGCTCTACTGTCCTGTGACAGTTGGACAGCCACCCATGGGACTTTCTTCTCCATGAACTTTGAGCTCAGGAGAAAACTCAAAAGAAAGGTTTTTCAGTTCTAGGTGCCTCTAGGGGAGCTGTCTTTAAGTGGTTTCAATGATAGGTTAAAACCCAACCCAGCAAACCACAGACTCTCTCCTCCCTACCCCCAACACCCCTGCCCTTGGGGGTGGGGGTTATGGTACAGCATGGCTCATAGCCAGGCAGTGCAGAAAAGGAAGTGTTACTTTTTAACAAAGGAGAATAGAACAGCCCAGCTTTGGGAAGTACAGAAAGAAAAACAAATAACCAGGCCTGGCAGAGGGTCTCCAGGGGCACCTTGATACCCGGGCCTGGGCAACTAGGAATTAAGTGAATTTGATTCTTCCCCACTCATACTAGCAGGGTAATTACGAAGATATTCCAAAACACAGAATAACCAGCATCTGTTTGATTTTGGAGTGTGCTGAGGTTCAAAAAACATATTTACCTTATTAATTATGTCAGCCTTAGGCTAATATTAACTTGCATTTCCTCACTGGGCAGTTGGGGGTGGCACCCAGGTGGCAGGGCCAATCACTGGCCTGTGAAAGAACAGGATACAGACAAATTCAAGCAGATCCTTGAGACCTAGCCCTCTCAGGACTTAACACCCCATGTGATTGTGATTTGTTCCCATCCTTTAGGATCTGAGCAGTGAGATGTGTCTCCGCTGAGGTGCCCCACGGCAACAGGTGTTTAGCATGGGCTCATTGAGAAGCTGGACCTGTACCATGGAGCTGGCCAAAATGGGTGCCTGGCTGAATCCTAGGCAGTCAATGGCAGAAAGGAGGAGAGCCCTCAGCTTCTGGAATAGAGCTGAGATGAAGCAGTTCTGGAGTGCTTAAACGGCCCCGAGCCCTTCCTGCCAGGCTCGTGATGATCCAGAGGCTGTGGGCAAGCCGCCTGCTGCGGCATCGGAAAGCCCAGCTCCTCCTGGTCAACCTGCTGACCTTTGGACTGGAGGTGTGCCTGGCTGCAGGCATCACCTACGTGCCACCCCTGCTGCTAGAAGTGGGGGTAGAGGAGAAGTTCATGACCATGGTGCTGGGTGAGTCACCACATCCTCCTTCCTTCCTGCTCCAGATATGTGCTGCCTGGGATGTAGGACAGGAGTACCTTTGCTCAGGGAGCTGCTTGGAGTAAAAGGTGGTTCCCTGCAGTTTATGGGGTTGGTGGGTAGGCGTTGCTGGTCAGAAGGGGGTGAGGTAACCCTGGGCTGAAGGGGTGCCCCAGGAGAAAAAGGAGAGAATATAAGGACATAGTCTAGTCACCTCTGTATCCCAGGAGACACTGGAGAATTTCCTCCTAACCTTTGTCTACTCCTAGCCCTTATATAATTAATGTCTATTACCTGAATTAATCTTTATAAGGACCCTTTGAGATAATGTTTTACAGAGAAGAAAAGAGGCTTGTAAAAGGTTTGGTTAACCCTAGCCAGGACTGTACAGCTGCTGATCAGTAGAGCTGGGATTTGTTTAGGGTCTCCCACTCAGTGCCAGCTTTTACCCCTGGGGCAGCGGGGAGGCTCCTGACTCTACAGATGAATTCTGCAAAGGCCTCAGAAGGGAAGCACCATGTTTCCCTGAAAATAAGACACGGTCTTATATTTATTTTTTCTCAAGAAGACACACTAGGGCTTATTTTCAGGGGATGTCTTATTTTTATTAAGTATAATACAACAATCTACATTTATTCAAATACAGTTAAGACATCTTCTGCAACAACATGACAGGGGGAGCCGACCTTGTTGGTGGGGCTGGTGCTAGTGATGAGTAAACTCCTTTCCCCTAGCTGTTCGCACATGCACAATAGGATGCCTGTGACTGTAGTTACCACACATGCACCCGGACAAGTGCAAACGGCTGGGCTCAGAGAAAGGAGCTGTGGCAGATTAAAGGTATTCCAGTCTTCCTTACAGCTCCACATGGAAATGCAGGGTGTGGCTATGCAGATATGCCGCATAGCCACTCCCATCACTAGGTCTTATTATTGGGGTAGGGCTTATATTTAACAAACGCATAGAAATCCTGCTAAGGCTTATTTTTTGGGTAGGTCTTATTTTCAGGGAAACACAATAGTTACCATTGTGGGACAGGCCCCCACCCCAGGAAGAGGGGCCTTGTAGGATTGCAAGCTCTGGAGTCAGACTGCCTGTTCAAACTGTCTCTTACCCTTTGTGGCTCTTCAGCTTTGCATAGGTATCACTTATTAGTTGTTCCATGCCTCAATTTCCCCAATCTGAAAACAGGGGTGTTTGTAATACCTATATTATGAGGAATAAATTAGACTCTCTGGGAAGACTACGCACAGCATCTTATGTAGAGTTTGCCCTCAATGTGCTATCATTTCTATCCTTCTCAAGCAGCTCAGTTCCCCTTTCCCTTTGCCCCTTAGTTGTCCCAGCCATTGACTCATACTACTTGTCCTCTTACAGGTATTGGTCCAGTGCTGGGCCTGGTCTCCGTCCCACTCTTAGGCTCAGCCAGTGACCACTGGCATGGGCGCTATGGCCGCCGGAGGCCCTTCATCTGGGCCCTGTCCCTGGGCATCCTCCTCAGCCTCTTTCTCATCCCGAGGGCCGGCTGGCTGGCAGGGCTGCTGTGCCCGGATCCCAGGCCCCTGGAGTTGGCACTGCTAATCCTGGGTGTGGGGCTTCTGGACTTCTGTGGCCAGGTGTGCTTCACTCCACTGGAGGCCCTGCTCTCTGACCTCTTCCGAGACCCGGACCACTGTCGCCAAGCCTACTCCGTCTATGCCTTCATGATCAGCCTTGGGGGCTGCCTAGGTTACCTCCTGCCTGCCATTGACTGGGACACCAGTGCCCTGGCCCCCTACCTGGGCACCCAGGAGGAGTGCCTCTTTGGCCTGCTCACTCTCATCTTCCTCACCTGTGTGGCAGCCACACTGTTAGTGGCTGAGGAGGCAGCACTGGGCCCCGCTGAGCCAGCAGAAGGGTTGTCGGTCCCCTCTGTGCAGCCCCACTGCTGCCCATGCCAGGCCCGTCTAGCTTTCCGGAACCTGGGCACCCTGCTTCCCCGGCTTCACCAGCTCTGCTGCCACATGCCTCGAACCCTACGCCGGCTCTTTGTGGCTGAGCTATGCAGCTGGATGGCACTCATGACCTTCACACTGTTTTATACAGATTTTGTGGGTGAGGGACTATACAGGGGTGTGCCCAGGGCTAAGCCAGGCACCGAGGCACGGAGACACTATGATGAAGGTAAGGCCCCTGCAGCCCGTGGAGGCTATGGCGGGAGCTGCCCTCTTGGGGCCAGGGAGATACACACAGGCTTTGCCTAGGCAGGTGTTTGGGTATCCTGGGCCCAGACTTCCCCACTAGGAAAGGAAAACAGACCCATTCTGCCTACATGGCTCCTCATGGGTGTGAAACTGCTCTGCCAGCAGTTTCAGTAGGGCCTTTGGCTACTCTGAGAACTTAATCAGAGTCAGTGCCCCAGTTGCAAAGAGGGAAAGGCTGAGCTTATTCAGAATCCAGAGGGAGCAGAGGAGTCAAGGCTGGATTTCCAATCAGTATGGCTGCAGCTTCAATGTGCCCTCTGTTCCCCCGATGACTTTCTAAATCTCCCCCGTGCCTTCCAGCTCAGGCATTCTAGAAGTGTTCTTGAAGCCTATGCAGGACTATCATCCTTGTATTCCCTCTTGCCTTCCTGTCCCCAAAGCTGAGGCTCCCAGAAAAGCCACAGGACATCTTCCCCTCCCCTTAGCTAACAGCTGTGGCTGTGCTCTCTGAGAGCCAGTGGGAGAGCCTAGATTCCTTTTGCTACAGGTAGAATGGGGAGGGTGCTGGGGAGCAGATACCTGTGGCCCTCACTTCTGAACTCCCCCCAGACTGTATTGTGCCCCTCCCTACCTGGCCCTATCTGACAGCTTTCTCCCCACTGTTTTCTCCCTATATTCCCCTTCCTTCCCCCTCCAGGCATCCGGATGGGCAGCCTGGGGCTGTTCCTGCAGTGCACCATCTCTCTGGTCTTCTCTCTGGTCATGGACCGGCTGGTGCAGCGATTCGGCACCCGGGCAGTCTATCTGGCTAGTGTGGTGGCTTTTCCTGTGGCTGCTGGTGCCACGTGCCTGTCTCATAATGTGGCTGTAGTGACAGCCTCCGCCGCCCTCACTGGGTTCACCTTCTCGGCCCTGCAGATCCTGCCCTACACGCTGGCTTCCCTCTACCACCGGGAGAAGCAGGTACTCAATGGCTGGTGGTTGGAGCTGGAGTGGAGATGAGGGAGCTTGGGGGAGGCTGACTAGTCCAGGACTTGATGTCTAGCAAGGGGCATTAGAGGTTTTCTTTGATCAGAGAGGAAGCCCATCTTAGCCCCAGGACCAGAGACTTGGGCTGCAGAAGAGTATAGATTAGATTCTGGCAATGACTTCCTGGGGTCAGGACCGGGAAGCACTTGAATGGATGATTGCAGGAAATGCAAATCTTACGGTGGGAATCCTGAAGAGTCAGCTAGCTGAAGCCCTGGGCTGGTGGTTCTACAGAGAGGCAGGAGGCTGGATCAGATGACCTCTGGGGCGTCAGGCTTCATCAGATGCTGAGTGGGAATGGTCTGGCTTTAGCAACTCCTCTCCTTTTCTAGGGAGAGGCAGTGTTACTACCTTGTGCCCTGCTTTGGTCTCTGAGATTGGGAAGGCTCCTTCCTGTCCCCACTCTTTCCGGTTTATCTTCCTTTTCTGTCTAATTCTCTCTTTTCTTTTCCTGCCTCCTTCCTTTGCCTCCATCCCCTTCCCCCGCCCACATGGCGGATATCTGAACCTGACACCTGGCACCTGACAACGCTCACCTGGGCACTGTGTAAGTTGGGGGGGAGGGCCTCCTTCCCACTCAGCCCACACTAGCCAGCCCCTCAGGAGCTGGCTTCTACAGGAAGCCTCCTGACCCAGGCACTGTGGTCACCCTTGTTCCCCTCCACTGGCCTCACTGATGCAGCCCTAGGTGTAGAACTTGCCCCAAGGAGCATGAAGCTGACACTCCCCTGGAATGTCCCTGGAGAGAAGGAGATGCACGTCTGCCCTCATGGAGCTTCCAGGCTGCAGGGAAGACTTGCTCCTACCCTTATAGCACATGAGTGAAGAAGTAGATAAATCCATGGCCGCTCAATCACACAGGTGTCCTCAGGGTGGGAGGTGTGGAGGGGAAAGGCCCGGTCCTTGAGATTCCTGCTGGCTCACTGATAACCTTCATCATTCTTTTTTTTTTGCAGTTTCTGGCCGGGGCTGGGTTTGAACCCACCACCCCTGGCAATGGGGCTGGTGCCCTACTCCTTTGAGCCACAGGCGCCTCCCCCCTTCATCATTCTTTAATCTTCTACTACCCTGGTCTGGGGAAATGGAGTTGGTGTCAGAGGTCAGACATGAGCACATGCAGCTGTGCCAGGGAATGTGTTTTGTACTTAGAAACATGTCTGTCCTCAGAGACCTCTTTAGGCTCCAGCCTCACTGGTCTTTCCTGGGGTGGCAGGCAGGGAGGGGAGTATCTGCTGGTTCCCAGCAACCACTGATGGCAGATGGGGCCCTGTATACTGTCCGCCTGCTCCTTTGCCTACATGTTGAGCTGCATGATGAGCTGTGAGCTTCCCTGGTATAAGGTTTGAGCTTGGCTATGACTCTCAGCTTACAATTGCAGCCAACTCAAAAACTCTTCTATGTTATACATTGCCTGGTATGAGGGACAGTGTCAGATGAGACCTGGTCTTGTCCTTAAATGAGAGGCTCTGGGGCAGTGAGGGCAGGGTAGGAGTGAGGAGGATCAACCAGACAAGACACAGTCACTCTGATCTGTGCAGAAGTGACAGCATAGTGAGGTGGAGTGAGAAGGGCTTCAGCATTAGCCCAGCTTGGGGAGGTAGGAAGAGGGCTATTTCTCCTACTCAGAGCCAATCCTCCAGGCCCCAAGGCTGAGACCTAGGACCTCACAGCAGTGCAGCAGCTCCAACTGGGACCATGGATGGGGCGGGGGAACTTCTTTCTGTGCTGGACAGTGAGGACTTCCAGATCATTTAGTGGAGGGTAGGCAGGCAGGAAGAGGGGTAGGAGAGGGTACTTGAGTCAGTAGGGGCTCTGCCTTTGGATTTTGTTCCTCTATTCTAGACATTTCTCTTCCTGTCTTCATCCTTCCTGTGTCTTTTCCTTTACCTTGGGGCTCTGTTCTTTTCATAATCTGCAGTGCTGAGTTTGTCTGCTACTTACTTGTAAGAGAGGATAGAGGAGACCTAGACTTCTAGTTTTAGATTTTGTCCCCTCCCCACCACCCTCTTTGATTTTTGTTTGTTTGTTTTTGGCTGGGGCTGGGTTTGAACCCACCACCTCCCGTATATGGGGCCAGGACCCTACTCCTTTGAGCTACAGGCACCGCCCTGATTTTTTTTTTTTTTTGGAGACAGAGTCTCATTCAGTAGAGTGCTGTGCTGTCACAGCTCATAGCAGCCTCAAACTCTTGGGCTTGGGCAGCACCTGTGGCTCAGTAGGTAGGGTGCCAGCCCCATATACTGAGGTTGGCGGGTTCAAACACGGCCCCAGCCAAACTGCAGCCTAAAAATAGCCAGGCGTTGTGGTGGGCACCTGTAGTCCCAGCTACTTGGGAGGCTGAGGCAAGAGAATTGCCTAAGCCCAAGAGTTGGAGGTTGCTGTGAGCTGTGATGTCACTGCACTATACCAAGAGCAATAAAGTGAGACTCTGTCTCTACAAAAAACACTCTTGGGCTTAAGCGATTCTCTTGCCTCAGCCTCCTGAGTAGCTGGGACTATAGGCACCTGCCCCAATGCCTGGCTATTTTTAGAGATGAAGTCTCGCTCTGGCTCAGGCTGGTCTCAAACCTGTGAGCTCAAGCGATCCACCTGCCTCGGCCTCCCAAAGCCCTGGGATTACAGGCGTGAGTCACCACGCCTAGTCTTTACCTCTTCACCCCCTTAATGGGCTGCTCTTGCTCCTTAGGTGGATGGGTCCCTGCTAAACCCAGACTAAGTAAGGTTTCCTCAGTTTTCTGACCTGTTGCCTGATTTTCATTAAGCCTGTTGGCTGGTTTCTTCCAGTCTCTGGGATGAAGGGTAGGGTCTGTTCTGATAGGTATACAATCTGAGTATATATATACCTGTCCTATTCTCCTTTTCTTCACTCCTCCCCTATAGGTGTTCCTGCCTAAATACCGAGGGGACTCTGGAGGTGGCAACAGTGAGGACAGCCTGACGACCAGCTTCCTGCCAGGCCCTAAGACTGGAGCTCCCTTCCCCAATGGACACATGGGCGGGGGAGGCAGCGGCCTGCTCCCATCTCCGCCTGCGCTCTGTGGGGCCTCTGCCTGTGATGTCTCCATGCGTGTGGTGGTGGGCGAACCGACTGAGGCCAGGGTTGTTCCAGGCCGGGGCATCTGCCTAGACCTCGCCATCCTGGACAGTGCTTTCCTGCTGTCCCAGGTGGCTCCATCCCTGTTTATGGGCTCTATTGTCCAGCTTAGCCAGTCTGTCACTGCCTATATGGTTTCTGCCGCAGGCCTGGGTCTTGTTGCCATTTACTTTGCTACACAGGTGGTATTTGACAAAAGTGACTTGGCCAAATACTCCGTGTAGAATACAGGCTGAGAGGAGGTCTGCTTCTTGGGTCCCACCCAGCTCCTGATCAGGCTGCAGGGATGTTCTTGTTTCTGCTGCTGCCAGTGGTGTGGCTCTCTGTTGCCACCAAGTGGCGACAAGGTGCATAGCATGACAGCTGGGGGACTGGGGTTTCCCTCTCACCAGTCTCTGGGGCAGGTGGACTGGCAACTTTCTAAATGAGTTTCACAGGGAGGCCAGAAGGGCAGGGCCTTTGATTAGCTCCATGCACTGGAATGTGTGGCCCTGAGGGTGGATTGCTTAGTTTCAGGGTCGACAGCTAGTATCCTGCTTGAGATATCTAGAGAAGGGATTTGGGGAGCTGAAAAACGTAGCCACTTCCAAGCCCCCTTATCTTGCAGGTTTCCCCAATGTAGCTCTTGCAGAGGAGTTTCTAGTATGAAACTCTGTCCACAGGATTTGAACGTATGGAAGTTATTTTGGAGGGAAGAGTTCTGAGGGGCAAGGCAACTCCAGGGACCACATTCTCTTGGTCCACAGCATTGCCTATCTGCTGATTCCTCCACCCCTACCTTTTATCAGAACATGGCTTATCCGTCCCTCTGTTGCCATCATAGAGACAACATTTTTGGACTTTCTTTTTCTTCTTGAGACAGAGTCTCACCACGTCGCCCTTGGTAGAATGCTATGGCGTCACAGCTCACAGCAACCTCAAACTCTTGCCTCAGACTCCTAGGTAGCTGGGGCTACAGGTGGCCACCACAACACCCAGCTATTTTGTTGTTGTTGTTGCTGTTGTCATTGTTGTTTAGCTGGCCCAAGCCAGGTTTGAACCCACTACCCTTGGTGCATGTGGCTGGTGCCATAACCACTGTGCTATAGGCGCCAAGCCAGGCACAGACATTTAAATACTTAACTTATTTATTTAACAGAGTAGAAGGGAACCATTGCTAGTTTTCTGTGTTGGTGTCTAGGAGCTGGGTAGGGTGGGATCTCCAACAACCAGGTCTTCTGAGATAGCTGGTCATTGGGCTGAGTATTGCCAGATTTCCTTTTCCTGGGGTCTGGCCCCCCAAAATGCCTAACCCAGGACTTTGGAACTACATCAGTAGATATCCTAAATACTGTTGCCCAAGGCTAGGGATGTAAAGGGGACGGGGAGGATAGGGCTTCAGGTCTGAGCAGCATCCCTAACCTCTTCCACTTCCTCTACTCCCTCTAGGACTGGGTTGATGAAGGCGCTCCCCTTCCTTCTACCCCACTACCTTTCCCCTCCGTGTCTACAGCCCTCTGTTGGGGGCTGTTACAGGACCAGAAGCACAAAGTGTGGTTCCTCAAGCCTTGGTCCATCTCAGCCCCCAGGGTATGTCTGTGCTTGGTGAATCTCTCACAGAAACTCAGGAGCACCCCCTGCCTGAGCTAAGGAGGTCTTATCTCTTGGGGGGTTTAAGTGCCGTTTGCAATAATGTTGTCTTATTTATTTAGCTGAGTAAATATTTTATACTGTATGTGAGCAATCAGAGTATAATGTTTATGGTGATGAAATTAAAGGCTTCTTATATGTTTAATTGGCATGTGTTTATCTTTTCTGAGGAGGACGAACCAGATCTCCCTAAAATCATTCTCAACTCCCAGTCTTTTGTGACCTTTGGCTCTTAGCAGCTTCAGTTCCCAACATCCACCTGCAGATGGAGCCATAGACTAGCACTCTTCGTATGGATTTCTGATTGGGCGAGGCAGTGCTGCACCCTGCATTGGGCAGTTTCTTTAGGAATAGGGGAGGATCAAGAAGGGTCTGAGCTAGGAGAGGGTGGGGACAGTTTCCTTCTCAAAGGGCCCACTGTGTAGCTAAGAAAAAGGACCAAGCTCCCATCATCAACCACAAGAGAATAGGAAATGCATGGTGAGAATTTTGACACCACTGTGCCTTGGTTCATGCCCTTTACACTGGTTCACACCCTCTCCTATTTCCTTCACCCTTTGTGCCAGGTCCAGGTCTGAGTCTTCCCTGCGTTGCCATCTCTTGGACCCTGCCGACCTGGACTGGTCTCCCTGTTCCTTAAGTTCCAGAATGCCTGGTGCAGTTGACACCAGTGTAAAGACTCATTTTATTTATTTTTAAATTTTATTTATTTATTTATTAGAGGCAGGGTCTCACTTTGTCAGGCAGGAGTGCAGTAGCCCAATCACATAGCTCACTACAACCTCAAACTCCTGGGCTCAAATGATGCTTTGGCCTCAGCCTCCTGAGTACCTGGGAACTAACAAAAGGTTTTTTTTTGTTTTTTTTTTTTTTTGAGATAGTCTCACTTTGTTGTCATAGGTTGAGTGCGGTGGTGTCCCAGCTCACAGCAACCTCAAACTTGGGCTTATCACTAAGGCAAGCGATCCTCTTGCCTTAGCCTCCCAAGTAGCTGGGAATACAGGCAGATGCCACAATGCCCAGCTATTTTTAGAGACAGGGTCTTGCTCTTGCTCAAGCTGGTCTTGAACTTTTGAGCTCAAGCAATCCACCCACCTCAGCATTTGATCACAATGCCATGATATCCAACAAAGTATACAATAATTCTTCATCCTTGATTATTCAATCCATGTGCAGTTGTCTCCAGTTGCCTCAGAAATGTCTTTTTATAGTTGGGTGGTTTAAATCAGGATTCAACTGATATTAACAAATTAAATTTAGTTGTTATGCCTTTTAGGTTTCTCTTAATCTCTAACAGATCCCCTCTTTTTTAATGCCATTTATTTATGAACATTTTTTTAAAGACTTAAGTAGCTTTTTTTTTGTTTTTATTAAATCATAACTGTGTACTGAACATTTTTTCTTATAGAATTGCCCACCCGTATTCTATATTTGGCGGACAATATCCTCAGGGTTAAGATGTTCTTTGTCTTCTGTTTTTCCCCCTGCAAGCTGCTAATAAAAGAGGCTTTATTAGATTCAGATTTTATTCTATTATGTTTATTTATTGCCAAGACCATTTCTCAGGTGGAGTTGTGTCCTTCCTGTGGCATTATCTCATGAGGCACGTAAGGCCTCGCTATCCTACTGCTAGTGATGTTAATATCAATCAGTAGGTTCAGCTGGTGTCAGCCTGATCTAGCATTATACAGTTTTTCATCAATCTTTTATTTAAGCCATTGATAATCATTGACTAGATCCTTTTTTATTTTATTTATTTATTTTTTGAGACAGAGTCTCACTTTGTCGCACTTGGTAGGGTGCTGTGGTGTCATAGCTCACAGCAACCTCAAGCTATTGGGCTCAAGCGATTCTTTTGCCTCAGCTTCCTGAGTAGCTGGGACTACAGGAACCTGCCACAATACCCAGCTATTTTTAGAGGTGGGGTCTAGCTCTTGCTCTGGCTGGTCTCCAACCTGTGAGGTCAGGCAATCCACCCTCCTCGGCCTCCCAGAATGGCAGAATTACAGGTGTTGGCACCGTGCCCACCCCTCCCTTTTTAAAAAATTGAGACAGTCTCACTCTTGCCCTGGGTGGAGTGCCCTGGCATCATAGCTCAAAGCAACCTTAAACTCCTGGGCTTGAGCAATCTACTTGCCTCAGCCTCCCGAGTAGCTGAGACTATAGGTGTGCACCACTACGTCCAGCTTATTTACTCTATTTTTAGTAGAGACGGAGTCTCCTTCTTGCTCAGGCTTGTCTTGAACTTGTGAGCTTAAGCAATCCACCCATCTTGGCCTCCTAGAGTGCTAGGATCACAGGCCTGAGCTACCATGCCTGGCTGACTAGATCCTATTTTGTTAGATACTGCAAAATTATGATTTTCTAGTTCTATCATTCTTTCTACTGATAGAATCATTT